CTGCTTTTGACATGCCTTTCTCCCTGTTTCATTATTTCTAGCTTTTGGTTTAAATTAAGAGACATGTGACTCTTCCTTGCACTTGAACACTTAGAGGCCATTGTAAAATTGTTAATTGGCTTAATTTCAATATTATTATGTTTCTGAGGAGAGGGAGAGAGAGATGAGGGAGCAGCCAGTCAATGATGCAGTCAGAACACACACATTTTTTAAGTTCACCCACTGTCTTTTATGGGCACAGTTTGTGATGCCCCAAAACAATTACAATGGTAACATCAAAGATCACCGATCACAGATCACCATAACAGATATAATAATAATGAAAAAGTTTTGAAATATTGTGAGAAATACCAAAATATGACACGGAGGCACAAAATGCCCATGCTGTTGGAACAATGGAGCTGATAGACTTGTTCAACATAGGGTTGCCACAAACCTTCAATTTGTAAAAAATGCAGTATCTGGGAAGTGCAATAAAGCAAAGCATGATAAAATGATTTATGCCTGTATTATGGCTTTATTTTGATAGAATGGTTTCTTGCATCTCCCTTAGAAAGGTGTGTGGGAGGTAAACATTCTGAATCTTTGAATCTCCGAATTTGTCTTTACTCTCACATTTGGTGGTAGTTTGACAGGTAGAAGATTCTAGGTTGAAAATAATATTTCCTCAGAATTTGGAATACATTGGCCTATTATCTTTCACAGTATTATTGATGAGTAATCATACTGGTCTGATTTTCTTTCTTTTTTTTTTTTTGTTGGTTACCTTTTTTAAAAAACAAAATCTTTGGAAGTGTTCAGGGTTTTGTTTTATCTTTCCATTGCATGTTTTATTTTGGCAACCATATTGATCAACTATATTTTCAAGTTCTTTGCTTGTTGCTTTTTTTATAGCATCATGGTCTTGTTTTAGGGATACAGTATTTTCCAATCTCTCTGATTTTGTGTGTATTATTATATGTGTGTTTAGTTCTTATCTTTTGTGTCCTGATTAGCTGTTTCCTCTGGGATCTTGTTTATTTTGGTATCTAGCATGTGATATAAGTTTTCAATAAATATCTGGTGATTGTTCTATGCCCCTTTATATTTGAGAAAGAAGCTATAAAATGTTTGGGAACTCTATGGGAGGGGCTTGTCAACTTGTAGAGAGTTAATCATTATTTTGTCATTCAAAAATCAGAAGTTCACTCTGGGCACATTATGCAATGATAAAAGGCATGATTGTTGAAGCAAATATTTAATAAATCTTAAAGCTATATGTACCAAACAACATAATAACTACTTACATAAAATTGAAAGCTACTATAAATGCAAATAGATCTTGACAAAAATATAGTTATAGTGAGATACTTCACTAAAGAGCTTCTCAGAATTAGACAATTCTAATAGACAAAAATAAGGATATAAAGAATATGAATAATACAATAAAAAACATAGAGAGCATATGTTCCTTGAATAGAGAATATACAAGGTCTGTCCAGAAAGTATCCAGCCATGTAATATAAAAAATGGAGACATTTGTTGAAGAAGATACATGATATAAGACAAGGGACAATGACCCCTCTGTCTCCTTCAAAGCAGGCACCTTGGGACCTCATACAGTTCTCCTATTGTCTCATCTGCTGTTCAAAACACTCTGCAAAATCTCTTTGTTGGAATCATCATCAGCTACCTGGTCATATTTTCCTGAATCTCATTGACCAGTCTGAAATCTCTTATTTTTCAAAGGTGATTTTGGTTTGGAGAAAAGCCAAAAGTTGCTGGGTGCCAAATCTGGGCTGTAGTGGGGCAGTCACCTGGGTGATTTTATGTTTTGTCAACAAACTCTGCACAAAACGTGATGTATGGGCCCCCAAGTCATGGTGATGAAGTTGCCAATCACCAGTTCCCCATAGCTGAGGCCATTTTGTTGCATTGCATCTCATTGCATCTCTCAACCAATGAAGAACATTGAGTATATTGCCTGTATTTCTACCTCTAGTAATGGGCTTTATGTGCTAGATTTTAATATCCTTGAGCCTGGGCAAGTGCACAAGTCTTTTTAAAAAGAAACATGGTTTACTTGCACAAAACTGATCAGTTTTGAGAGATCGTTAATGCCCTTGAAGTGGTTTTTGTGGGTGTGAAACAAATGGTGAGAATTTGAATTGGTCCCTCTTATTATAGTATTGAAATTAAGTCTACTTAATTTATCAAGTTATGTTCATGCCCTGATTTTATATACTTGTATCTATCAATAAACATTGTGATACTTGAAACATTGAGGTGCCATTCCTTATTAATTGTTTGGCCTGGAAGAGCTTACTCATGATGGACAACACCTTTCCAATCAAAAAACACGGTTAACATGGTCTTGATCCTGCTGCAACTTTGCCACGCCTTCTTTGGGCATGAAGAACCAGGATGACTTCCGCTGGGGCAACTGGGCCTTCGATTCTAGATCATAGTCAGACCCACGGTTCATTTCTGATTATGACTTCTTGAGGAAATCTTGTTCATTGGTAGCAGTTTGAAGCAAGTCTTTAGCAAATGCAGCATGCATGAATGTGAGAGCCACGCAGTATGCATGCTCACTCGGGGGTGTCTAGTGCCCCACTGACTAGTGCAGTGAAGTTGTCATTGTTCACGCATTACAGACCACTCGCATTGGTTGCAAGGTTACATTGATGTCATGCAAACCATTCTCATTATATTAACGATGGCCAAATACTTTCTGGACAGACCTCATATACCTTAAAAAATATGTTCATAAAACATTTACAAAAGTGGATCATGTACTAGACCAAAACACAAACCTCAGTGCATTAAAAGTGCATTAAACTTTGAAAGCATTATGCTAAGTGAATAAGCCAGATGGAAAAGGACAAATATTGTATGATTGTACTTATTTGAGCTACCTAGAGTAGTCAGATTTGTAGAGACAGAAAGTAGAATGGTGGTTGCTGGGGGCTGAGAGGAGTGAGGAATGGGGAGTTAGGGTTTTATAGGTATAGAGTTTTAGTTAGGGAAGGCTGAAAAAGTTCTAGAGATGGTTAAAATGGCAAATTTTATGTTGTGTATGTTTTATTTATACCACAATAAAACAATTTTATGTCCCTAAAATGCTATACAAATAGAAATTTTACAGATCACATTCTTTGATCATAAGCCAATAGAATTTACAATAAATAATTTTAAAAATTATTAAATAATTCAAAGATGATCCTCCATCTTAAATACTTAGGTATATTTCTCAGAAATATATTCCTGGGTTGCTTGTCTATCAAAGAGAAGTTGAAAAGGAAAAAAAAATTGCCTTTTAGATAATAATAAAAGGAGACTATCTTATGCCCAGATCCATGGGAAACAGCAAAAATCTTACTTAGAGAAAACTTATATCCTTAAATGCCTTCCTTTAAATTATTTTTTTAGAAATAGTTTCACTCTGTCACCCAGGCTGGAGTACAGTGGCATGATCATAGCTCACTGTAACTTCCAACTGCTGGGCTCAAGCAATTTTTCTGCCTCAGCCTCCCAAGTAGCTTAGGACTTTGGCGTGTACCACCATACCCAACTAATTAAAAAAAATTTTTTTTGTAGGAGAGGGTCTTGCTATGTTTCCTAGGGTGGCCTCAAACTCCTGGCCTTAGGGGATCCTCCCCGCCCAGCTTCCCAAAGCACTGGGATTACAGACAAGAGCCACTGTGCCAAGCCAAATGCCTTTATTATTAAATCAGTAAGACAAAAAATAAACTAAGAACTCATCTTAATACATTTTAAAAAACAGCAAAGTAAACAAAAGAGGGTATTAAATATTTTCTTTCACACTTCAGTGGATTGTGTTGTGCAGCCTCTGGAGGTATCCCTAACTTTGGGGACTGTAGCTCAAGACTATAAGGAAGGATATTTTTATTTTGTTGAGCTTTTACACTGCTTTGAGGGGTGACATATTCCAATGCTCCTGAGAATCTGTCTTGTAATTTCTCAAAGGTTTATTTTGTTTGTTTAACATTTACACTGTTTTGTTTTGAATAGTGGCTAGGCATGAAGCATAATTTCTTCTCCTGTTATGCTTAACTTAAATCTATGGGTTTTGAAAAGGAGTTCAGGGAGAAGAAATTATGCTTCATGCCTAGCCACTATTCAAATTTATAGTTCCAGCTCAGTGTTTTTGTTATATGTTGTTAGTATGCTCTTGTTTGCATAAGACATCTTATGGTTTAATTGTGGAATAGAATCTCATTTTTGTCCTCTAAAATATAGTCCCACTGTATGAAAAATGCATTTTAGCAGTGGATTCTGCTACTGTTGAATCTGAGATTTCTATTCTGTGTAATATGGTGCTAATTTTCCCACAATAATCTCTAAATCATAACACTATGTTGTAATATTTAAAAGATCAGTAGATTTTAGAAGTTCATATGGGTATTTAAAGAAGCAAAGTGCTACGTACTGAATGTTTGTGTCCTCCCAAAATTCATATGGTGAAGTCCTAATCCCCAATATGATGGTATTTGGAAATGGGGTCTTTGGGAGGTAAATAAGTCATAGAGGTAGAACCCTCATCAATTATATTAGTGTCCTTGTAAGAAAAGACAAGGGAGAAATGACCTTTCTCTGCCACGTGAGAATATAGCAAGAAGGCATTTGTCTGCAAACCAGGAAGAGGGTCCTCACCAGGAACCACATTGGCCACAATCTTGATCTTGGACTTCCCAGCATTCAGAATTGTGAGGAATAAATTTCTGTTGTTTACATGACACAGTCTATGGTTTTTTTGTTATAGCAGCCCAAATTGACTAAGACACAAAATAAATGAAGGTTTGCAGCATAGCAGGATCCACTGCTAAAATGCATTTTTCATATAATGTTACTATATATTTCCAAAATGAGATTCTATTCCATAATTAAACCACACGATGTCTTAAGGAAACAAGAGCATACTAGCAACACATAATTTTAGGTCCTTTAATATGGTAAAACTTAAGGCTTTGGTTAATCACAGCATTTATTATTTACAGTTGTCAAAGCTGCAGAATGAAAGAGCAAGCTTACGAGATCAGTTACGTGACTATGAAGATCGAATTAGTGCTATGACGTCTCACTTCAAAAATGTCAAGCAGGAGTTCTCATTTACACAGGTATAGTAATATTGAAATTTATGTTGATTATATCATGGGTAGTCATACAACATTTCACAGTACATTTATGTCTATAATTTTATTTTAGAGCTATAACAGGAAACTTAATGTAATTAAACTACTGTGAACATAATCTTGAACCTGAAAGTAGGTAGAAAAAAAGGCTTTGAGAAACTAACTACTGCCATCAATTTTAAACAAAAAATTAATTTTTATGAAAGGGAAAATCGTAATTCAAACAATCTAATATAATGTTAGGCAGCAGATTATTTGAGAAGGGTACAATGACAGCAGTGAGAAATTATGGCTAAAAGCAGAAACAGAGCTAATTTAATACATGATAGAATTTCCATCTCCTTTTTAATTTTTCAGCACAACCCACTGGGGCCATTTTAAGTGTATGCTAATAGTCCATACACGTGATATTTTAGCATAGTTTAGTAATTGAAATTTATAATAATCCTGAGATAAAAAAAAGTTAAATTATATTTAAGATAACTGGGGAAAAGTATAATGCATTTTAGAAATATTAACACAAATATAATAATAATTAAAACTTGGAATTATTAATAATCTTCTGTTTTATGAACAATACTGCAATATAGAAACTCACTGCCTTATGATGCCCAGCAAACTAGACAGGTTGGGAAATCAGCATCGGGGAGTTTACTAACTGATATCTCAAACTTTTTTTTTAATGCATCTACCTTTTTGAGAAAAAGTTTGTAATTTTAAAAAATGAACAGAGCCATGTTTTTAACCACTTTGGTATCAGCGTCAACTATAGTGGATAGCCATAGATGAACACGCACAGCAACTTTAGCCAACAGCCGTGATGTAAAGGCACAAAGCTGAGTGTCGACTTTAGCCAACAGCCGAGATATGACTTTTCTAATTTTTCATTTATCAAAATAAAATTGTGAACATTTAAAAATAATGTAATAAAAATATATATGTATGTGTTACCTATTCTGATTTACATTACAAGTAAAGCTGCCTGTAAAGTAAAACAAGCTTTCAGTGCTTTAAAGCTTTCCTCATCGCACAAGAGCAAAACGGATTTGTCGTCAATGCACAGCACACACTATCGTGCGGACTGTGCGTGCCGGCTGTGGGCAAGGTTTCATGGCCAGTGAGCCTTTACAATCAAATAGGTTAAGTGTATTTCATGGCTTACAAATGAACTTTTAAAGACAATGCTTAGTATTCTTGAATCCTGATATGGGTGAGTAATTGATAAACTAATTAGAACACCAATTTTCCTCAAGTTATTAAACTACTGAGTTGAGGATTTGAGAGACAGAGATTCTCTATAGTTATATCTTATTACCATCAAACCTCAATTAAATAGGATAATACAGACAAAAGACAATAAGCCTCCTACAAACCTAGTAGCTTTCATACTGTAAAATTAATACTGAGACTGATAACTTTGAAGCACTATAAGATCAGTAGTCAACAAATACTTTTTTATTAAATAAAACTTAACACAAAGGTATAATTATATACTAATTTATTCTAGGGGATATTTATAACCATCAGTGTTTAAATCATTTTTAAAAAATTATGTCCATCAATTAGAGTATATGATCAATTCTTACAAATATCTCATTTCTCAATTATTTTTAATTCATATTTATATCTAGATAAGCAGTGAGTTATAGCTTTTAAGTCTTACCATATAAACTTTGGTAATTTTGGGCTTTTTTAGTTTTCCTAGAGCAATATAATATCTGAAAACTGCTGACAGTATTTTCTCCTAGCACACTTGATTGACTTTCTTACAACTAGTGAGCAACACCAACTAACTATAACAGTCTAATGTGATGTAGGTTTCAGAGTAGTAGAATTAATAGTACTTAATCTAAGTGTTTTGTGGGACTTTTTTTGGTCTAATGGGTTATTATAAATATTTTAAAATATTAAAATTTTAAAAGTCTTTCTATCATGTGTATTGTTCTGTAGTCTTTTTACAAGGCAAGGGAGCATGAGATTGAAAGTGAAGAACATTTGAAGGCCATTGCTCAAAGAGAATTGGGACGAGTGAAAGATGAAATCCAACGACTGGAAAATGAAATGGCTTCTATACGGGAAAAGAAAAGTGATAAGGAAGTATGTGTTGAAATTTTACTTAAAATTCTGTGCTACTGCTCCTTCTTCCCTCACCAAATGAGCATTGCTTTATTTATGTGTAGGAAAGGCATTCATTACTTTCTTGTTATTTACTTACGTTGTTTTTTGAACAATGAAAGGCTTATGGAGTTGTGATTTGAACAAAACAGTAACAGAATATTATATTTTTCCCTGTTATTCATTCACCAGCTATTTATTGAGACTTAGTATGTGCAAAGTGCTGGCTGCCTGTTGTAAAATACAAAGAATGATTTATATGTTAAGTGCTACATTTTTAACAGTCACATTTTTTAAAAAATCACTTTTAGTTTTGAATTTCATTAAAAATTTTTACTTTTCATGTTAATTTGCCTGCTTTGTGACTCTAACATTAAACTACTTTAACCTATTTCTCTCTTTTCTTTGGTTTTCAGTTTTAGTTTGATTTGAGAGCTCTTTCCAAATTCTTGTTCTTCTCTTCACACATATATATGCATATGTATATGTATGTATACATATAAATACATACTACTTTTTCTTAAAATATATATATACATGTATATGTATGTATACATATACACACATATTTTATTATAATTTTATAATGTAATATTTATATAATAATAATTATATATTAATTTACATTAAATGTTTATTTATCTATTCTGTTTTCTTTCATGAGTCTAGATTTTTTTTTTGAGACAGAGTTTCACTCTGTCACCCAGGCTAGTGTGCCATGGCATCAGCCTAGCTTACAGCAACCTCAAACTCCTGGACTCAAGTGATCCTCCTGTCTAAGCCTCTCAAGTAACTGGGACTAAGGGTGCACACGACCATTCCCAGCTAATTTTTCCATGTTTAGTAGAGATTGGTCTTGCTCTTGCTCAGGCTTGTCTCAAATTCCTGACCTCAAGCAATCCTTTTGCCTTGGCCTCCCAGAGTGCTAGGATTACAGGCATGAGCAATTGTGCCTGGCCTCTTTCATGAATCTAGATTTATTAAATGACCAAATTTACAGAAATATTTTTATCTCCTTTACTATATTTACTTCAATTAGGAGTGCTTCTAAAATTTCTGTATAAGTGCCCTCTTAGTGGCAGTAATATGATTGGACATAGTACTGACAGGAATTTGCCTTGGGTTTGAATTAGCATATCAAATATATTATTTTAACTAAGATTGGATATAAATTTAAGGTGACTTTGGTGGAGTGACTAATGCAATTGCTTGTAAGGGAGCTACTCTGAAACCTAAAGCCTTTTAAAGCGACATTTGGCTCGACTACTGTTCTTGCCTTTGTATAATCATCTTTCTTCTATTTTACAACCAAAGAATTAAAATACAAGTATGATAGTTCTATAATTAAATATGGTATATTATAAACATCTAGAAGGCAGGGACAGGATTTCTTCTTTCTTTTTAATGTTTTGTCATATATGATGTTATATTTTATTTTAGTTTATTTAGTTAATAATGTTTTGTACTCCCCTTTTTTCTCTTTCTTTGGAAATTAGAATGGCATATTTAAAGCAACTCAAAAATTGGATGGTTTGAAATGTCAAATGAACTGGGACCAGCAAGCACTGGAGGCCTGGTTAGAAGAATCAGCTCATAAAGATAGTGATGCCTTGATTCTTCAGAAGTATGCGAAACAAGATGATAATAAAATTAGGGTGAGAAATTATAAATTGTAATTGTTAGATTTTCTTTGTAGCTTGCCAACTTATTTACCTAAAATTGTATTGATATTTTTTAAAAGAAATTTTTAAACTTTTTTGAGTTTGGGACTTGTTGAGGATTTAATAAAGCCAGTTATCCTCTCTATAGAAAAATATACTCAAATACTCATAAAATTTGGCTGACTGTTTCACAGGTCCTCTGAAGCCCTTTGACCGTTTTGGGATCCATGAACCCCAGGTTAAGAATGTCCTGATTTATAAGGGCAAAAAGCATTTCAGAAAAGAAGTTTTGCATGAGAACTATTTATATGTATTTTAGCTATTTTGTCTAAAGTATAGTTTGAATATATTACTGAAAGCTGAGCTCTTATCCTCGAGGCCACATCAGAAGAGTACAAGAACAAGTGGTTAAGGAGAAGGAAAGAGAAGTTTATTACTTTGCTGGCAAAGGAAGAAAATAGTAGGTTTTCTCATCTCAAAACCAAATTCCTGTCCATAAGCAGAAATACAGAGCTTTTAAAGAGAGGGCCCTCAGTTCTAGGCTATTGCCATTAATGGATTAGATTCTTATTGTCCCTCTCTGCCTATCTCTGCCAAAGATAAAGCCTGTGACCTCTGCCCCCTGGAAGGCTGGCCCCAAGCCTGGGATGGCTGACCCATCTCCTGTAACACAAAAAACAAAAGACATTCCCCTGCCTCTCCTGACCACTTGCCCAAGGCAGGGATGAAGGCCAGGCCACAGTTCCCAAAATGAGTGGGGAAAGTTTTAAAGAAACAGAAAACATCTTTGCTGTTTTTGGTTTTTGTTTTTTCCACCAGGCCATTCCCTCTGTTACATATTCCCCACTGTCAATTTTATGCTTCCATACCTAGAGGAGGAGGGGCGACTACCCTATTATAGATATTACATGCTTTTGCTGATTGGAGACTAGAGTGCTATTGATTGATAATTATGACAACTGTCACTTAAAATCCACTTAAAATTACATCTGGCAATACAAAGTTAGTATTATAAAACATGCTATTTTCTGGTAGGTTTAATACCAAATGCATTATTGTAAATAATTTCAAATGGCAAAGTATAATTTAATCTTTTTTCTAATTTACCTTAAAAAGTGTTAAAAGTCATTTTTAAAACAACTGAATTTTCATACAGCTATATACAAACACATTAGATTAGCCCTTTGAGGTTAAAGGATAAGGAAAGTATAGTTGTTTTAGATATCAAATAAATGTATATATAAAATATAAAAATATTTAGTGTTAGATAAACTAACATTTTAAAATCGATAAAATGACAACTATAAATATTTTTGTATGTAACTACATCATAGGCACTGACCCTGCAATTAGAAAGACTAACTGTGGAATGCAATCAGAGAAGAAAGGTACTTGACAATGAACTTACAGAGACTCTAAGTGCACAGGTTAGTTTAATGAAAATTTTTATTTCTTAATTTTCAAGGTGATGTTTGCAAAAGCACTTAAATTCACAAACATGTTGTTTGCTTTCTCTTTGACAGTTAGAATTGGATAAAGCAGCACAAGATTTTCGTAAGATTCATGATGAAAGGCAAGAACTCATTAAACAGTGGGAGAATACAATAGAACAGATGCAGAAGAGGGATCAAGACATAGATAACTGTGCTTTGGTAAAGTAGTTGTTTGGTCCTTGAAATATTCAGCTATATTTGTCTCTTTTGTATTTAAATCATTATTACAAATGTAAATCACATTGTTATTTGAAAGTTACTTTTGTAGTAAGATTCAATAGTTTTGGTGTTTTTGAAAGCCGACTCTATATCTATTTTGAAATGTAATTTTATGAAGATTATTTGGTTGTAGTAGTATAATCCCCAAAGACTGGATCTTGCCATCTCTGAGTTGTGGAACAAGAGAAAGTCAACAGATAATATTATTGCAGTAAAACTGATGCCCTGACTCACACATGGTTGCCCAAAGTGCCTTGGATTTAATATGTATGCTATTTGGCGGTAAGTTACAGATGTAGGGAAATGAGCCTCCTTGGATAACCAAAAAACAAGGAAAGAGTCAAAAAAGAAACCTACACTGCAATAAAGTTTCTCGGGCACCAATACTGATGTAGAAGATTGGAAGGGGGAAAATAGTGCACTGATAACACAGACTTACTTTATCTCTTGTTACTTTCAGAGGTAGTTTAGGAGAATGTTTTTGGAAAATCATTAAAGAATAAAATAATGGTGAATAAAAGTAGGAAGATTAGAAGGAGTTGGGAAGGAGAAGAAATTGAGGGGGAAAGGAGGCAAGTGAAAAGATGTATTAAATTCCATTCTGAGTCTACTCCATGGAAAGGCATTTGGCAAGCTGCTAAGGCCACTGGGAGTTTGGAATTCTGATAAATGGATGTGGTTTACTTGCAATTTTTATATTTTAAATTTCTGTAAATAACCAACATTTTATATAAAAAAAAAAGGGTTATGCCTCCCTAGTATGCAAAAGGAGGAAGCAGTTTTAGCTATGAGGTCTTCTTAATTCTTTCTTTTTGGCAGGGGGAGGCAAACACTTAAACAACAGACTTTTATTTCTTCACAGTTCTGGAGGCTCCAAGTCTGAGAACAAGGTGTCAGAAGGATTGATTTCTTTGGAGGTCTCTCTCCTTGGCTTGTAGATGACCATCATCTCCATTTGTCTTTACCCGGTCTTTTCCGTGCCTGTCTATGTCCTTATCTCTCTTTTTTTAAAAACAATTAATTTTTTATTTCCAGATATTACAGGGGTACAAATGTTTTTGGTTACATGTATTGATTTTGTTTGTTATAAGTGTGCCTATTACTCGGATAGTGTTTATTGTAACTGTTAGGTAGGTTTTTCTCATCCTTTCCTCCCTTGGCCCCCTCCCCGCTGCTTGATTTCTGCTGAGTTTTACTACCTTCTGTGTATATGTGTGTTCATCAGTTAATTCCAATATAATAGCGAGTATATGTGGTGTTTCTTTTTCCATTCTTTAGATAATTCACTTAGGATAATGGTCTCCAGTTCCATCCAAATTGTTGAAAAAGGCCTTTAATTCATCTTTCTTCATGGCTGAGTAGTATTCCAGATTACACATATACTGCATTTTACTAATGAACTCACGAATTGATGGGCACCTGGGTTGACTCCACATCTTTGCAATTGTGAATTGTGTTATAACAAATATTTGCATACAGGTGTGTTTTTGATGAAATGACATCGTTTCCTTTGGATAAATACCCACTAGTGGGATTGCTGGACCAAATGGTAGGTCTACTTTTAGTTCTTTCAGGAATGTCCATGCTGTTTTCCATAGAGGTGGTACTAATTTGAAGTCCCACCAATAGTGTATAAGCATTCCTTTCTCTCTGCATCCATGCCATTATGTATTGTTTTTGCATGTTTTAATAAAAGCCATTCTGACTGGGGTAAAGTGATATTTTATTGTGGTTTTAATTTTCATTTTACTAATAACTAGTGACATTGACCATTTTTCCTATGTTTCTTGGCCATTTGTCTATCTTCTTTTGAAAAGCTGCTTTTCATATTTTTGTCCACTTTTTAAGGGGTTGTTTGTTTTTCCTTGCTGATTTGCTTCAGTTCTTTGTAGATTCTAGTTATTAGCCCTTTATCAGATGTATACCTTGCAAATATTTCTCCCATTCTGTAGGTTGTCTATTTGCTCTGTTGATTATTTTCTTGCTGTGCAATAGCTTTTTAATTTAATAAAGCTCACTTTATTGATTGTGTTGCTGGGATTACCATTGGGTCTTCTTCATAAATCCTTTGCCTAGGCCTATATATAGAGAATTTTTCCAACATTTTCTTCTAGAATTCTTATGGTTTCATACCTCACATTTAAGTCTTTTATCTATCTGGAATTAATTTTTGTGAGTGGTGAGAGATATGGATCCTGTTTCATTCTTCTGCATGTGGCTATCCAATTTTCCCAGCATATTTATTGACACGGCTTCTTTTTCCCAAGTATATGTTGTTGTCTGATTTCTCAAAGATCAGTTGGTTGTATGTGGATGGTTTTATATTTGGGTTCTCTGTTTTGATTCATTGGTCTATATGTCTCCATATTTGTGCCAATACTGTGCTGTTTTGGTTACTAGCCTTGTAGTATAGTTTGAAGTGTGGTAATGTGATGCCTCCAGATTTGTTCTTTTTGCCTAAGATTTCTTTGGCTATTTGTGCTCTTTTCTTGTTTCAAATGAAGTGTAGAATTATTTTTTCTAGATCTGTGAAATATGACATTGCTATTTTTATGGGGATTGCATTGAATCTACAAATCACTTTGGGTAGTATGAACATTTTAACAATGTTGATTCCACCAATCCATGAACATGTATGTTTTTTCATTTGCTTGCATCATCTGTGATTTCTTTCCACAGTGTTTCATAGTTCTCTTTGTGGAGATCTTTGACCTTCTTGGTTAAGTATATTCCTAGGTATTTTATTTTGTTGGTAGCTATTATGAATGATAGTGAGTCTTTGATTTGACTCTTAGCTTGTCTGTTATTGGTGTATAGAAATGTTACTGATTTGTGCACATTGATTATATTACCTGAAACTTTGCTCAATTTTTATATCAATTCTAAGAATCTCTTGGTGGAGTTGTTGGGATTTTCTAGATAAAAGATCATATTATCAGCAAAATACAATAGTTTGACCTCTTTCCTGGTTGATTATTGTTTGTTTCTTTCTCTTGCCTGATTGCTCTGGCTAGGACTTCCAGCACTGTGTTGAATAGAAGTGGTGATGGTGGGCACCCTTGTCTTGTTCCAATTCTCCATGGGAATGCTTTCCACTTTCCCAATTCAGTATGATGTTGGCTATGAGTTTGTCATATATGGCTTTTATAATCTTGGGATATATTCCTTCTGTGCTTTGTTGAGGGCTTTTATCATGAAAGGGTGCTTAATTTTTTCAGATGCTTTTTCTGCATCTATTGAGATGATCATATGGTCTTTGCTTTTGCTTCTGTTTATGTGGTGAATTATATTTATTGATTTTTGTATGTTCAACCATCCTTACACCCATGGGTTGAAGCCCACATGATCATGGTGTATTATTTTTTTGATGTGCTGTTCAATTAGGTTTGCTAGTATTTTACTGGAGATTTTTACATGTATATTAATAAAGGATATTGGTCCAAAGTTGTTGTTGTTGTTGTTGTCGTTGTGTCCTTTCCTGGCTTTGGTATCAAGGTGTTACCTGCTTTGTAGAATGAGTTGTGGGAGATTCCCTCCTTCTTGAAGTTATAGAATAATTTTGGCAGTATGGATACCAGCTCTTCTTTGTGGGTCTGGTAAAATTCGTCTGTGAATCCATCCAGTCTGGGGCTTTCTTTTGTTGGAAGACGCTTTAATCTTCTTGCTCATTATTGGTCTGCTTAACAGTTCTATTTCTTCCTGAATAAGTCTTGAGAGCTTGGTTTTTCCAGGGATTTGTCCATTTCCTCTATGTTTTTGAGTTTATGTGTGTGTAGATTTTCATAGTATTCTCAAATGATATTTTCTATTTCTGTGGTATCAGTTGGAATATCTCCTTTTTCATTTCTGATTGAACCTATTTGGATCCTTTCTCCTCTATTCCTGGTTAATCTAGCAAGAGGTCTATCAATTCTGTTTATCTTTTCAAAGAACCAATACTTTGTGTCATTGATCCTTTGTTGTAGTTTTTTTATTTGTTTGTTTTCTCTTTTGTTTAGTTCTGCTGTGACCTTAGTTGTTTCTTTTCATCTGCTGGTTTTGGTTTTCTCTTCCTTTTCTAGTTCCTTGAGACATGTCATTGGATCGTTAATTTATGATCTGTCTTCTTGATATAGGCATTTAAGGCTTTTGATTTTTTCCCTAGGGCTTTTTGCTAAAGCCCATAGATTTTGGTTGCTTATGTCCCCTTTGCCTTTCAGTTCAAGGAATCTTTTGATTTCCATCTTAATTTCCTTATTGACCCCATAATCATTCAGCAGCACGTTAATTTCTATGACTTTATGTACCATTGAGTGTTTCTCTTAAAGTTGATCTCTAGTTTTATTCCACTGTGGTGTGAGAAGATATGTGGTATGATTTCAAATTTTTTGAGTTGGTTGAGACATGTTTTGTGACCTAAGATATGATCAGTCTTGGAGAATGTTCCATGTGCTGATGAGAAGAATGCATATTTAGTAGTTTTGGAGTAGAATGTTCTGTGAATGTCTGCTAGTCCCATTTGTGCTAGTTCACATTTAATTCCAGTGTTTATTTATTATCTGGTTGGATGATCTGTCCAGTTCTGTCAGTGAGGTGTTGAAGTCTCTGGAAATTATGATGCTGCTATCTCTTTGCTTAGATCAAGGGTCCTCAAACTTTCTAAACAGGGGGCCAGTTCACTGTCCTTAAGACTGTTGGAGGGCCAGACTATAGTTTTAAAAAAACTATGAACAAATTCCTATGCACACTGCATATATCTTATTTTGAAGTAAAAAACAAATGGGCAAAAACACCCGCATGTGGCCTGTGGGCCGTAGTTTGAGGACACCTGGCTTAGATCTAATAGGATTGCTTTATGAATCTGGGCATTTCTGTGTTAGATGTATAAATATTTAAGATTATTGTGTCTTCTTGTGGAATTGCTCTCATCATCATTATATAATGGCCATCTCTGTCTTTTT